TTTATAAATTAAACCTAGTTCATAAATTCGATAAATTTAATATTATTTAATATTATTAGTAGGATATAAATAAAACATTGCAGAAGCAAATGGAAGCGAATGGAACGAATGGAACGGTAACTCTAAACATTTAAACATTTTATTTAAACATTTTATTTAAACATTTTATTTAAACATTTTATTTAAACATTTTATTTAAACATTTACAGGCATGTAACTTTAATTTATAGCTCGAGCCTTAATGAGAAAAATGAAACAATAAATGTCAAATACGTAGTAATTTTGATTATCAAACAATTACAATTACTTGTCAAAGTTATGTTTTTCTCCTTGAATTTGTCAAGATGGCTTGATAAACATATTTAGATAAGAAATTATATTTGTTTATGTGACTCGAGAACAATAAGAAACCCAAAAGCGTTGTATTCTTAAATAGAAAAATTTCCCATCAAATGTTAAAAAAAACCAGAATGTAACCTTAAAAAACCGTAATTAATTGCCTAATTAGACATTAATTAGAGTCGGGTCATATGTTAAATTGTTTGTTTGCTATTATTTGTTATTACTAAGCTTTTCCCGCAATCACACACTTTTAGATTGAAGGGTACCGAGCCTGATTATTATTGAAAAATAAACTAACATACTGATACATACAAGATTAATAATCAATACATATAATCAATATACAATCTCAAATAACTCAATGGAAACTAACGATAATATACACATTGTTCATATAAAATTCGATGGTAATCAGATTCCTTTAATCAATTCCATCAATGCAAGATAATCAAAGTTTTGGTAACATAAGCTGAATCATAACTGAATCATTAGCTTTAAATAAGTATTCAATACCTACCGCTATAACATTGTTCTTAAATTTAATTCCACGTACTGTACGTACGTACATTTTAAATATCGTTATATATATACCTACATAAGTATTGTGCCAAGTTCTCACAGGTGCTACTTTGACTCGGGAATTACTCGGCGAAATCTGATCATAAGTTTGCAATACGGAATGGAAATTATAAATTCACCAATGGTTGATGGATGACATTTTAATATTCTTACATGAATCAACATTCTTATTTGTGATACGGATAAAATAAGAACTTATTGAATATCTTAAAATGCTTTAGTGTTTGATTAGTACTGTAGTATTAGGGTTATCGATTCAGGAACTCACATGACATTTCAAATACTGAAATATTAACGTTAAAGGTATGTCTACAATACCGATACACTTTTGTTTAACATGATTGACATACACTTCGATTATTAATATACATAAAAGTTCTTATCTGTTATTGAATATAAATTTATAATAAATGATATATATTTTCTATAATTGCTAATTGGCACAACGTAACATCTTTTAATGTTTTAACATATAACCCACCAAATAAAAAATATTTTTTCTTTTTTTTTCCTTTTTTTTTTGTAGTAATAATATTATAGTATACAAACCAAAGGTTAGGTGAAAGAAAACAGATAATAAAAATAATAATAGTAATAATAATAAAAACATAATATTTTTTTGCTATGTATATCTAAATTTTTTTTGAATCAATTTATAAAAAATCAAAATTTGTCTTATCAAAATTTCACTAACAAAAAAAAAAACAAAAAAAAAACACCATTCTTAAAAAAAATAATACAAAAAACATTAAAAGTACTTAATAAGCTTTAAAACTTTTTAGAAGTGCCCACTATGGTGATTATGATGGTGCCCTTTATAGGTACCGGCTCGTTCAAGTTTGCTAACGTCATGACGACCATCACAGCATTGCCTTACATTTTCTAAATCAAAATCGTCATCATCGACAAAATCATCGTCATCAAATCCATTTTGTGACGTTCCTGGTACTGTAAGTTGTTGTGATTGTCCATCAATCACTTCGGATGAAAGAGGTGATGATGATGATGGGTCTTGGCGTCGGAATATTGATTGAATTTTATTAAAACTGGATTTTTTCTTAAGGTTTCCACCTTTTAACGATCCAGTTGGTGACGTACTATCGTACAAACTACGGGTATTTGGTTGCTTATCCCAAGGATCTGATGCCATTTTTCCTGGTCGTCCGGGTATTAGTCCTTGGCCTTGTCCTTGTCCTTGATTAGCTTTGTCTGATTCATCCGGTCGTTGTTGAAGCAAATAACTTAAAGCCTAAATGGGAAAATTTTTTGTATGGTTTGTATCAAATATCGAAAAACAAAAAATTCATAATAATAAATTACTCGAAAATGGATGTGAACCAACCTGGTACCAGTAGTCATGTCGTTCCTTAGTTCGTGCAGTAATTTTTAATTCTCTTTCTGGAGTTTTGATGACCAAACTCATTTGATATAAACCAGGAGGTGAAGGATTATGGTCAATAACTTGTTTTACTGACTCTATATATGCTATTTATCAATTAATTATTGTTAATAAATCAGTTCGTGTTTATATAGCCATCGCAAAAAAAAAAAAAAAAAGAAAAGAAATAAGAGTACAAAAACGCCCCTCAAGAAAGAGAAACAAAAAAATTGTATACCTACCAAAATATGATGTTCCGCTTTTTGTTTTGGGATCAACAGGTGCATTGTTACCTGGATCTTTATTGCTCCAATATAAAGTTTTGGTATATGGATGAACCCAAAAGAACCTTTTATGTCGTTTATCACCCCCGAAATTACGTCGAGTATATTTCCACAAGTATTCACCGATCATAGTTTGAGTGATCGCATGAATTATAGTTGGGTCCGTACCCGATGGTCCGGGCAATTGTCCATTATGTAATTGTCCATTAGGTTCTGGTGATTTACTATGAGTTGGATCTGTCGTTATCGAAGCGCTGCTCGATGTTGAGATAGATCCTGAACTGGACGAATGATTATGGAGTCTTGATGTGGTGGGTTCACTGCCATTTATGTTGTTAATACCCCTTGATTTACCGTTCGATAGTATACCATCTTGTGATTCCGCTGAACTTTTATGTGCATTATCGAGGGATTGTTGAACTTTTGGTGTTCCCGCTTGTTGACCAAAGTTTACGGATGTTGATCGTTGTATTAATGTTGCGGATGGTCCATTAACGGGGCGTGGAGGCGGGTCTAAACTCTGCATTGGTCCTTGTTGCTGTTGCTTATTTGAATTTTGCAAAATACTTCGTGGTGATTGAGGTTGTTGATTATTTGATGAGTTTGATGGTGAACTAAGATCAAGTGTAAATCGTTTATCATCATCATTATCAGGTACGGTCAAAGTTTGGCTATTTCGATCATTCTTTGAATCGTGAGAGAGATTATTAGGGTTCGTGGGATCTCCAAATGTAAGTTTGCTTGACATTGAATCACTTCGTTCACCCTTCGATTCAGTTTGTACACCGACATCTACAAATGTTTTAAATGCGGTGGGTTCTTTGGGAATTGATCGAATTGATCGAATTGATCGAGTGGTTGAAGAAGAATTTATTTTAGATGAAAGTGTTAATTTTGTGAATTTTTTTTTTAAAAATCAAATTTTGACTAATTTGTTGTCGCAAATGGATACCCACCTTTTACTATGGGATAATTTCCAGATTTGGTACGTCTTTTTTCATCACCTTCTGCTCCTTCTACTCCTTCAACTCCTTCAACTCCTTCTACTATGGGATAATTTCCAGACTTGGTACGTCTTTTTTCATCACCTTCTATTCCTTCTACACCTTC